TGTGCTGGGACTGTATCTTGTACAAGCACTATATATATGTCTATATATTGCTATAAACTTGTATTGTTAGTTTCAAAAACTCTTGGTGAAAGAGAAACTAAAAAGAAATATCATGGCATATTATTTTCTCAAATCCTCACACATCTCTTCCTTTTTTCTTCTTCTTCTTTTTGTTTCTTATGTTAGTTCCTTTGATTCAACGAGAGTCGTGCCAATAGATGACATTTGCTCAAAATTTAGTGATCCTTCCTATTGTGCCAATATTTTGAAATCTGCACCAGCCACAGATCTTATTAGCCTTTCACAGTATACCATTAACTCAGCACACGTTCATGCTTTTGATAGCCTCACTTCAATTCACGATCTTATCCAAAACACTACTGATCCTCAGTTGAAATCACATTATACATCATGTTCTATGAATTATAATGATGTCTTGCTTTGTCTCTCACAAGCTAAAGAGACTTGCAGTTCTGGAGATTACAATGGAATGAAGTCTAATGCTGCGACTGTGATAAAAGATGTTCAAGAGTGTGACTCAAAGCCACCAGTAGATCCATCCACACTCCCAGAAAATAATCAAGATTCAGAAAAAATGAGCAATATCATTATGATTCTAGCTGATTTTCTAGCAAGGAAAAACTAGTTATTTTGGTGCCTACTGATTAATTTGTTTCTACATCTATTATTGAATAATAAATTTGACTTACCATTCTTTAGACACTATTTATTTCATGAAATACTAGTACTACTGTCTTTTATATACAGCTTCTTTGATTTTATGTTTTTATTTGGCACCACGAGACTATACGGGTAATATCGAAGATACAATCACCTCCAAAAGTTTAGATGCAACATTTGTAAATTAAATTTAATTCAACATTATTTTGTACAATTATTTTTTATGAAAGTGAATTTGAAATATTTAGATAATAAGTACTACAATATGATTTTGATAAAGAATGTCGCTCGAATATTTTTCCAAATTTGTTCTTGGGGTGGCTGTATTCTTACTAAATTCAATTTTAATGTTCATGTATGAATTATTTATATAGATTTGTTGCTATAAGTTCAATTTTTATGTGTATGTATAAATTCAATTTTTCATTTACTTTTTTAAAATTAATTGATACTATTTTTAAATTTATTGCTAGCTTTTTTATTTTTCTTAAAAATATTTATTGCTTTTCATAATAACTTATTTTATTATAATCAACATTTATAATATAAATAAAAATTTACTACATGAGAATGAATCATTTATTAAAGCTATTTTTTTTTACACATCGTTATATATATATATATATATATATATATATATATATATATATATTAAAATTTAAATTGTTTGAGATTTGTAAATTATTACTAATTTCATTGTTTACATACTTTTTTAATTTGATTTTAAATCTTGAAGATCAAATTTATTACTTTTAACATTTTTTATTATTTTATATAAACTTGTAAATTTTATGCGAATACTTATTTTAATGTTTCTACTAATTTCTTTATTAGCTTAAATAAACTTTCAACTTTTTAATAAATAAGTATACTCTTATTTATAAAAATTGTCATTATTATTTTGTATAAAATTTAAATTTTATATAAATATTTATATTTATAAAATTTATAATACTTAATTTATTATTTACAGCACTTATTCAAAAATTTTAATAATTATATATTTTTAATCTTATATAAATTATTTTTTTCAAAATTCATATTATTTTCAAATACTCTTTCATAATTCTTTTAGTTAATAACAAGAATTTTATTTTTAATGTTAGAGTATCTTTTAATCTTTTTGTTTTATCACTATATATATATATATAGTTTTTGACATTTATACCTTTTTGAATACAATACTGTGTCTATAAGTTATATTTTTATTAAAATAAAAAAGTAATTGATTAATGAGAAGAGATAAGATGTATGATAAAAAAAAAACAGATGACATTTTTAATAAAAATGAGAAAATTAAATTTATTTCTTAATTCTTTATTAACTGACATAATTTAAACTGCTATATTAAATTAAAATTAAATATTAACTTTAAAGCTTAAATGAATAAAGTATAATAATTTTATTTATTTATTTAATAATTAATAAATTTTCATTTTAAAAAATATTAATATTCGCTGAATATTAAAAGTTAAATATATTGAGTATTTAAAAAATTTATCCAATTTTATTTTAATGAATAAATCTGCAATGTTTAGGTATGTTTGATTTCCAGTGGTTGACTCATCCACTGTATCTAGATGTACAGCTCAGATCGAATTTAGATGAAAAATTAAACATATTTTTTGTTTTTTGAAATTGCTATACTTAAATGAGCAAATAAATTTGTTTAAAAAAATCTTTTTGAGTATAATTAAAGTGAATCATTTTTTGTTTTATCCTTAAATTTAATAAATTGAAATTCATATTCATAAAAAACGGTGAGAAATAAGAAAAATCTATATATAATACCATGTATATAGATATAGTATCAATTATTTAATATTTATTCAAGTATGATTATACGCACATCATGCCATAAAATTTATTTATTTATTTAAATACATGCATGTGTACAATCTTACCATATTTTTTTAATAATGAAAAATCTTTTGTGCCAATAACATAGAATAACATAGCTTATAGAAAGACTATATATATATATTTCTTACAAACTCTTCTATTTATAGTTAAGACAGCTCATGGTGAAGTGAAAACTAAGAAAAAAGATCATGGCATATTATTTTCTCAAAGCCTCACATATCCCTTCTTTTTTGCTTTTACTTTTTCTTACTTGTGTTTTTTCCTTTGATTTAATGAGAATAGTGCCAATAGCTGATATTTGCTCAAAATATAGAGATCCTTATTATTGTACCAATGTTTTGAAATCTGCACCAGCCACAGATCTCATTAGCCTTTCTCAATATACCATCAACTTGGCACACGCTCATGCTTTTTATAGCCTCAACCTAATTGGCGATCTAATCCAAAACACTACTAATCCTGAATTGAAATCACATTATACATCATGTTCTATGGATTATACTGACATATTGCTTTATCTCACAGAGGCTAAGAATTCTTGCAGTTCTGGAGATTACAATGGAATGAAGTCTAATGTTGAGACTGTAAAAAACAGTGTTTAAGAATGTGACTCAAAGGCACCCACAGATCCATCCACACTCCACAAAAATAACCAAGATTTAGGAAAACTGAGTGAGATCATTTTGATTCTAGTTAATTTTCTGGGAGGCAAAAACTAGTTATTTTGGTGCTTGGTGAGATTAATCTATTATGTGACTATTCTTGAGAAATAAATTTGAGTTTCTGTTCTTTATTTATACTATTTTGTTTCATGAAATACTATCATTCATATATTACTATTTTGTTTTCTGTTTTTGTATCATGAAAAATGCCAGTAAAACCAAGGATTGCCATATGTAAGATTGCAGGGGGGTTATCAACCTCCTCCTCCGAAAAAATAATAATCAGTATTTTGTATATAATATGGTGTTTGAGAGATAGGTTTTAGATAAAAAGAAATGGGAGATTTTTGTTAATTTTATAAATTTTTAAAGTTTAAATAATATTTTAACTCTTAAAAAATCATGTTTTTAAGTTTTTGTTTATATAAAAACTTTATTCAATTAACAAAAAAATACGTATTTTTAGTTCCTCGTTAAAGATATATATATATAGTATCTTAGAGACTAAAGTCAAATAAAATTTTTATAAGAATTAAACCTAACAGACATAATATTTCTACAAGTTAAAATGTTATTTAAGTCAATTTTTCAAATAATAATTATAAAATAATATATTAGTTTAAATTTAACACTCATAAAAAAGTGTAAATTTAATAAGTTAATTTTTATTTTTTATAAATATTAATGACTCTTTAAATTTAAAATAAATTACTTATTCTTTCCTTTCTTTTATTTCAAAACTCAACTTTCAAATATATTGTAAGAAAAAAATTAATAAATACTAACCAACGTTATAATAATTATAAAAAAAGTTTCTTTATCACGTTAAATTAAAAATAAATAATATAATAATGAATTTTTTAAATAATTGTAGATATTTAATAGAATATATTAAATAATTTTTAATTAATATATTTAGAACATTCATTTTTAAGATACTTTTTAATTTAATAATTCTTTTAGTTTGGTTTCCCCAATTAAAATAATGCATTAACTATCAAATAAAGTCTCGTATATACTTGTTTTAACATTTTTTTTATTTTTGAGTATAATGCGTTGACAAGAAAAAAAGTATAATGCATTTGAAACCTATTAAATGGTGAGTTCTAATCCCGGATTAAAAGCTCCTATTTCCTATTTAGTGTAAAATATATTAATCTCAGTTTTTAACATTAAATTTAAACAACTAATAAAAATAAAATTTTATTTTGAAAAAACATTTATCACTCTTTTTATATATATAATGTAATAAAATATTTTTGTTCCATAAGAAAATATGGTTTTTATATGCTTAAACTCAAATCCTAAGAACTGAAAAATTTACTAAAAAATATTGTCTACAATTTATTTTTTTAAATATTAAATATAATTTTTTTTATAATTTTTATTTTTATCTGTCCAAAATATCTAAATTCTCTCTACTCGATCTCCATATACTATTCTCCCATTCAAAATTCAAGATTTCACCAAATAGAACATTTCAAATTTTTTTTCATCAGAACCCTAACTGCACTTACAAATTTCTTAAAAATTTCACCAAATTTTCATATTTTGAACCAGTTAAATAATTTTGTATCGCAAAGAAACTTATAATTATTTGAGAAAAAAGATGAATTAAGAGTTTTAGGTAAAACAAAATTTCCGTAAGAAATTAATTGTAATAATTAAAAGAATTAGAGAATTAAATTTGAACGAGAGATCAAAGTCTACATTTGTTATAATATAGATTAAAAGTGTAATTAAGCCTTTGTTAGATGAAGGATGCTGCTAAAATCTCCTTCATATCATTTCTCGTTGAAGGAAGATCATGGTAATAAAATCATAGTGGCAATTGAGGTTGTGGTTATGGTTGATGTTATTATACAAGGGAAAAAAATATGCGTATCATAGAGACTTAAGGCCTCCACATAGTTTTCTGTGCACATATGATACCCTCCTTATCCTGAGCGAAAGTCATTCTAATTTCCCACTGCATACTTCTTAATATCTCCTCCAATGGATTTAGAATTTCAACTTTGTCACGTATAATTGTCCACCCTCCTGGCCGTAATATACGGTCCATCTCAACAACAATGGACACTGGCTGTTTGCACCTGCAAACAATTGTTTCAAGAACATGAATGTTTGGAAATATTTATTTTTTTTTTAAAGAAAAATCACCTTTTGATCAAATGATATCTCATAGAACTGGCTAAAATAAGCTATTATTTCTTCAAAATAAGCAGAACTAAACACTGCTCAAATTAAATGGAACATGGAATGATCTTCAACATGTAGTTAACACTCTAAATGCAATATATACTTCTGTTCCTATTTATCTGTTCAGAGAGAGAAGAAACTTTTGTCTATTTATTTGTCTATGTAAAACTTCAATTGTTTTTCGTTCACTGATATTTATATTATGTAAGTAGTCCAAGAGTCTAAAAGAAACCCACTAATAAAGGGTAAATTAAGAAGCTTAGCAATTAATTCTAACTAATGTTTGAATTTTTTGGTCTGCGTAATTTCTTCTCTCTAGACAGATAAATAGAAACGGAAGTAGAGATTCTAACTTCACTATAATCCACAAGGACTTAACCATATAATGGTCATGGAAGAACATCCAGAGAAAGAAAATGCATACACTAATGTAATATATTGTCCAGTAATACCTGTTTTTGAGCCGAGAGAACAAATGATCTGCATGCAATAGGTCATATGTTCTTGGATAAGTGCCAAATGACTCACACCAATCATGATAGACACCAATAAGCCCACGTTCAAAAATTATGGGTAGTGTGTCTGGTGCATGAACAGGTACTACATTCATCACCCACACCTTCTGTTGAGAGAGAGCTGCAGCAAATCTGTATTTCCACAGGAGAATTATTAATTTATTTTTACCTGTGTGTCTAATATTTGTTTGAAATAATGTAATGAACATAAATTACTTGTGTATTAAATATGTATCAAGTGAAGCTCATTTATTGATGCAACAAACTTATCCATAATATATCTACAAGCTCTAAGACTTGGAAATTGAGAACAAAGTTAAGCTGTATTGCTGGCATACCCTCCATAGATGGCTTTCATGTCCATTACATTCCGAATACTTGTCCAGTTAATGCCCATTCCATTGAGATATGACTTATTAACAATTGAATTCCAGTGGTTGGTGTCTGCAACCAATTTCTCTCTGTTGTTCATCCAGTCAGAATAACATTCAAGCCTCTTGGGCCATTCCTCAGGCCACTCTGCCCCATGTTGTTCGATTCCTGATGGAATGGCGTGCAAACAAGTCTTCATTGGAACATGCCTATTCAAAGATTATTGAAAAATTACCAACTAATAAATAAGATTAAGCTGAGTAGAAGAATTAATCATACCATGTAATTCTCAAGCTGCTAAATGCAGTAAACAAATAGACGGACACCCAAAATAATAGAAGAGCCATAATATAGCATAAATGATGAGTTTAGTTGGAAGTATCCAAAGCATCTAAACATAATGCACTTCAATCATAATCTTTTTTACCATTTTGGTTTGGAAGCTCAAACGATAATACATAGTGTCATCCAATTCTATTCAAAGGCTTCACAAGTCACTACCATACTAATGTGTACTTACATCATTACCAGATCTAAAAGTTATGCAAACATAAAGTAACATAAATCAGGTTTGCATGCTGAGGATAAATAGACATGTACATTACAACAACAACAATCAAGTATTAGAATATTTGGTGAGGACATATGTACATTCAACTATTAAAAATTAAAACTGGCATATGTTGTATCAATTTTGCAGAATAATATTACAGCAGGATACCAGGCTGCATCAGGATTTTCATTTTCTTTGCAAAGTGGTGGAATCTTCTTCCTCCTCAATTCGTATATGTCATTCCCTTCAGGCTTTTGATATATTTTAACTCCAACTTCACCAACATCATCACTTTTATGTGCCAGAACATTCCAACAAATAGATGCTGTCAACGTGGTCATGGCTGGAAAAGAAAAGATATGTAATCGTCACATGTGTGGCATTTCAATTGCAGAGCAAGGTTCATATCTACAGAAAGCATTGCCAGATCTTATAATATATTTCTATATTGTTTTCCAAAAGGCAATGTACATATGATCTTCAATGGTTAAGTACAAACTGTATGAAACACACTGCAAACTATGGACAGCACTACAACAGCAGCATGGACAATCCAGTATCATGGCCAGTAGATGCTAAACTGCTCAAACATAAATTTGAGGAAGGGATGAAATGGAAGTAGAAATGTTAACACACAATATGAGAGATGGAAATGTTATCAGACAGTCAGAAATGGCAAAGTTAAATTTTTTTAGAAGAATAAGTATCACAATTAATTTAATATTTCAAAGTTCATTTGATCATTTCTATGTATCTTTCCATGAGCAAGTCAAGACAAACTAAGTGAAGTAATTCAACCTGTTGTTTGTCTTCACACTTTGGTTGTTTGATTTTGGGCTAGAGTGACTTAGTTTACACACTGTTATTATCTCAAACAGACTGCAGTATCATTTTTTTTTTAATAAAATAGCATTAATACCATCCCTTTCAATAAGTAAACATACACCCCACCAGCTGGTTTGACTGGAAAAGTAGTGAAACGATCTGGTCTCCAGTCCATTTACCCATGGTAAAAATGGCAGGGGACCGGGGAGGTTGGGGTGGTGGATTTCAACATCGGTGAAGAAGTCCAAAACTGGTAAAAACTTGCGACAGAGAACCAATTTCAAACATGATTTTTTTTAAATTCAAACAAAATAATTTTTTTAACCAAATAAAGGTTAAATGTCAAAGTTATATATATGTGCTAATTTGAAATTTTACCTGAATTTTATTTTATATCACACAATATTAGAAATATGTAAATAATTACTACCAATTTGATCATGGTTGAACCGTGATCATACCAATGAACCATGATGGCATGATAAGAAATGGTCCATTTTAAAACATTAATAAACCCGATTGAATATCGTGTTTCAGTTTTGCTCAAACAGATGGTAAGTAAATAGAAATAGCATCAAGCCAACAATATCATAAATTCATAACAACCACACTAAATAGCCGAGGGTAAAAAAGATAGAATGTTAATAGTCAAAGTTTCTTCATTTCATCTGCGAATGCATTTTTTATTCAAAAGTGAGACCAACCTTCTTCTTCTTCAATGCTGTCATGTTTAGTTGACATAAGAAAGTATCCACCAGGTCTTAGAATCCGATTCATCTCTAATAGAAGCTTACCACCTGAAAAATTGGCCAAATTCAAGATATTCTACTAACAAGATAATTACAATTTGGATAATTTTTTTCCAAACATAAGAAACTGAAGACAGGGGCACAAACCATTGGAATGCCAAGGTATGCTGCAACCCCCACAATGTATAACATCAAAAATTTGACTTGGAAAAGGAAGCCTCCTTCTACTAAAGGGACTAACCACTGCTGGGAAACCCCGCTCAAGCGCCACCTGAGCTAAGTCCACTAGATCAGTCTTTAAGCCTAGTGATAATGTTAAAACCTCCTTATCAAGGAGAGTAGCTGCAAAGCTCGAATCTGTACATCCAATGTCCAGGACAACACGAATATTTTTACCCCATTCAATGTCTGGTACCATCTATGAAATTCAGAACGAGTTTCAAAATGCTTCCAATATGACAGCAATAAATAGTAAAAAAGATTTATTCTATGAAGTTGAAACTTATCATTTTAGCTAATATAAATCAACATCAATATTATGCTCACAATGCAATTATAGAAAAAATGAAAGAAATGTATAATAGTACAAATAAAACCAAGCACTGAAAATAGTTGTAGCAAAGAAAACCCAAAACTATTCAAAAACTTAATGAACAAACCATAACAAGACAATCCTAGAAATTTTACCCTATTGTATCCAAGTAGATTTTGTTTGGGAAACTCAACTTATCTATTATTAACCAATGTCCCTGACACTGGCAATACATGAAATTAATTTTTTTTATTTCCATGTTTTAGATAAAAAAAAATTGCAAAGCAAAAGGTCATGACTCATGACAATTGGTATTAGTTATGCAGGTATGCAGGAACATGACCAGCTTTGCATTTGAGGAGAGGTTCAGACCTAAGTAAATAGAGCAACAGTGAGTCAGGGACAATGGCAGCACGGTGTTGCCATAGTATTTGGCATATATTTTTATGATGCAAAATTAAAATGTCGTGCTAAAAGAAGAGACCTACTATAAGTGGTAAGTTCCCTCAATTCATCAATTTCTACTCACAGAGTATCCAAGGTATAATGAAAATGGGAGAAAAAAATCAATTGATCAAACTACTAACAAGTTAATCTCTAATGTTATTAAGGTAATTCCAAGTTTATCATGTTTGAGAAATAAAACTCCAGCAGTCCTCCTATTGCTTTCATAGGTGCATCAATTTTTTTGTCAATATGCTTAAGTACCAAACATAGTACACCCTTTAATAAACTTACCTCTTCAATGGACTCAAGATAGTGATGAATCCCTCCCTTGAACTCGGATTGGTTTTGGGGAAAAGTAAGGTACTCTCCAGACTCCATCAACCAACTATGTCTTTTTATATATGCAGCTAGCTTAGGGTGTGCGACATTCTTATACAATATCTGCACTGACACAAGATGTCACCATGAGAAAACAAAGAAGCAACACACCAACATTCATTCAAGCTTATCTACATTTTCATATACCTTCAGTTTGCTCTCAGGCCAAGGCAATGGAGACTCATACCCTTCATGAGGAAGAGGAACCAGGCACATCACGGGTGTCCTTGGACAACTCCTCTCCGTGTGACGGTAGCTGGGCACCTTTCCACCACCAACTTCAATATCAATGCAAGGAATGTAATTATGCTTGCTCCTAGTGCTACACAATTTCCACCTATAGCTAGCATTTGGATCAAACAAGGGTCCTTTCACCTTTCCCTTGCTTGTTTTCTTGAACTCCTCTTCCACACTTCCATCTTCCAACGTCTCAGAATCCTGATCCACAGATTCAGCCAAATCATTGCCTGCATCAACATCCGCATCCACATCCACTTCACTCTCACGATCCAATTCCAATCTTTCTTCATCACCCTCCCCCGCCACCTCTTCTTCACCCTTATCTTTCTCTTCTTGACCATTGAGTTGAGAATCATCTGACCCTTTATTGTGTTTCTCTTTATCTTCCTTATGCACCCTTTTCTTCTCGTTCTTCTTGTCCCTTCCTTTATGTTCAGGGTGAGGACGCGTGGCAGAAGAAGATCCATTAGTCTTTTTGCCACTATGAAATTCATCTTTCAACTTGTTGCCACTACCCTCTCTCTTTTCTGGTTTATGGTGCCTAGAAGAGGACACTGGTTCTGCAATGTCTTCAAAGCTTTCCCTTTGAGAAGTGACAGAAGATGATGAAGAAGAAAACACTGCCCAAACAAAGATAAAGCAAAGACCCAACATAGTAACAGCTGTCATCTTCACCCACAATCCATAAGGTCGTTTTGCTTGCCGAACTAACCGAGCTATTGCCATATTTCACTTTGAAATTCAATAATCAATGTTTATAAGCGGTTTCAAGTTTGAACTAACACTACCTTTTTGAAGCGCATCTGATCTAAAGACTGAAAAGGAGAAAGTGTGAAGACTGAAGAATAAGTGGGAATTAATGATAACACTTTGTTCTGAATTGGGTTGAATCAAATCTGAGAAGTGAAGCAGCTTTAGGTTGTGATGTTGTTGCCTTTATCGGAGAAATGTCTATTTCCAAGTGACGAATGGGAAAGTAAATAAATTAATAAATAAATAAATTTAAAAAAGAAAGGTGTGAATGGCTACGTTAGAGAGAAGAAGTGAAGGAGACAAATGGGGTTGGAGTAGCATCTACGGTTGGGGTATCATGGTTTGGCAGAGGTCATGTTCCTCGGAGGTTCGATCCTTTTGAGGATAGATGCAGGGACGGTAGGTTTTACTTGAGTCAGCACTTAATCAACTGTAATAACTATGAATACTTTTTTTTTTTTCTTTTAGAACAAACTCCTAAATTGGTAGTGTATATTTTACTTGCTCAAATTTTAAATTTTTATTATTATTTCAGCAAGTTAATTGCTTCCCAATCTAAGATTGAGGACCTAGGCTCGATCTCTTTGACTTCATGTGTATTGCACAAATTTATAGAATTATCATTGAGTATGGGCTGTGTGGTTGAAAAAGATTAACATAGTATGAGTCCACAAATTTTCAAATTAACTTGTATTAAATTTAGAGACCAAGTTATCTCAAAATGAATTCACTTTTTTTTTTATTTGCACTTTTATTAGTCGACTAACTTTAAAAAACTGGAAACTTTATATGATAAATATTATTGATGAAGCGTGCAATAAAAAATTATATATATAAGTGCAAGAACAACTCTCTCCTTTTTGCTGCTGAGAAAATGAAAAAAAAATGAATTTTATATTTTCTGTCATTATTTATTTGCATAAAAAAAATACTGATAAAGGTTGGATAAGGCAATAATTTAGTTAAAACTAATTTTTAAAAGAGAGTATTAATGTAAAATCTAAAAAGACTTCTCTTTCTTTAAGAAAGACTTTAAAATCAAAATTCACAAAGGACTGTTATCTTTTTGGTATGAGAATGACTTTAAACAGATTGTCATTGTAATCTTGTTAAGTATGTTCATATTAGTGATTCTCATCTCCCTTGGATGTCATTTTTTTTTTCATGATTGACATGACACTTTAATCAACTTTCTACTTCTTTACCAAAAGAGGTTAAATGTAATATTACAAATTATTTTCTGGACGATTCTTTCTAATATATTGGTATTCAGGCGAACATAAATGTAGTAGGTTTCTATTTGAATTAAGAGTGACTTGTTCGTCCTTTCAACTTGGCATTGCAACTATTATAAAATATCAAATATTTTTTAACACATTAATTTTGATTATTTTTGTTGTAGGTGTTTTGTTTTTTAGGAGGCCATTCTGTATTGTCTTTGAGATTTTTTCCATTCCATCCAAGTTTGAAAGCACCTTTCATTTCATTGGTGACCCAGACACCCTATCTCACTAGCACTCGGTGGTTTCCTCCTAGTTGCAAAGTACTAATGACGTGTTCTTTCCTTGGATTTTCTAAAGGATCTACAAAATGAAAATGTTTTCTGATATTGTATGGAAGATTGAGCAATTCTGAATAAAATTTCAATTATTCTTCAAGATACTCAAATTGGTTTTTTTCACCCCTTCTACTTTGTTTCTTAGATCAATTGCTCTGTATTTTTTTTTTTACCATCTTTAATACAAGGGTGGTTAATATGGGCTATCCCCCTTCAACAACTTACTTCACATAGCTTTAATTTTATTTTATTTTTTAAAAAATGAGTTTAATTTAACCCTAAGTCATAATATATGTATAAAAGAGAAGTCTTTTTTTTGTTTTTTTATAGTTGCCAATTAAAAAGAAATATTTTTTTTAATTTTTGTTATAATTGTTACAGCTACGATTATTGGACTTAAGATTGGGCAAAAATTCCAATTGTGCAAGTCCAATCTATAATAATGTTAAATTGATTTTAAAAAATTAGATTTATATTAAATTAGTTTTTTTATCCATCATATTTTTGTAACCGTTTTAATATTTTCAATTTATTTTCTAAAATTAGATTTTTTTTATCCAAATCTATATTGCACATAGAGATATTTTTTCATGTCCTAACTTATTAGACCTTCATGATATATTTTTTATTGATATTTTTTTTACATTTTACAAAAATTTATGACTAATATTTTACAAAATTTGTTTATGACTATATTTTAGAAATAATATATTTTTAACTTTAATTCTTATAATTAAGATTAAATATTTAAAATAATATTTTTTAAAATATAATTATTATATTAAAGATATAAAATTATAACAAATATTTTGAATTAATAACTATTATTATTTTTGTATTTAAATTAATGTTTTTAATTTTAAAAATATTATAAAAATAATTTTATCTTTATTTAATATTAATATTTTTTTATAAATTTTAATTAAACTTTCATCTTCAATTTTGTTTAATGAAAATATTAAAAATAATATATTTTATAATATAATTAATAAATATTATTAAAATCTTTTTAAAATGCACTAATTTAATGCAATGGTGCAATACAACAAAATAGTTTTATATTAAAAATTAAATTTATAAATGTATTGAAAATTAATTTTCCTTAAAAATTTAATTTAAAACTAACTTAACATAAACCATTAGATTTAAAACTGGTTTTTAACTAAAATCAGGTTTTAAACAGATTTTAAATCAAATATAAAATTTAAAACCAATTTTAAGAGAAACAAAAATTAATTAGTTTAAAATTTAATTTATATAATTAATTTTTATACAGTGAATAGATAATACAAAGTAAAAAATATAAATTTAATTTTAATACAATATAAATGTAAAAAAATTATATTAATAATTTATTAAAAAATATGCATATATAATTTTATATTAATTATTATGAAATTTATATTTTTAATATAATAATTTAATAATAATATAAAAATAATTTATAATATATTTTATTAGATTTAAATCTGATTTTAAATCAAATTCAAATTTTAAAATTAAATTTAAACTGGTTTTGAAAAAAATAAATTAGATTAATTTAAAATCAAATCTATATAATTAAATTTAAAATAAATTTAATTTGATTTTGTACAAATCTAATTCATACCCACTCTTAATTTAACTATAACATTTGTTGAATCAATTAAATTTGTTGAATAAATAGTATTGATTATAATAAATTATAATAAATATAATTTAGATTAAATAATATAATATTTATCTATTTAAATTAGCATGTATGAATTATGATACACAACTTATAATTATGCTTACAAAAATAAATATAAAAACCAAAATATTTTGGTCATACTCTCTTCTTATAAATTAATCTATAGTAAATTTTTATCAATAAAATTTTGATAAAATATTGATTCATATGGTGTCTAAATATAAAATTTAATTACAAGTTTATTATATAAAAAATTTTAAATTTTTTGTGTTCAAAGCTTATTATAGATCTAATGTTACATTCCGTAAAGATTTGAGTTAGCTCAATATGTTTAATTCAATCTCATAAATGTGTTAGCAGTGATACCTTAAAATTAGGGTTATAGTTAGAATTGAGTTAACTCACTTTCTTTTTATAAAATAATTAATAGATATTGTGTTATTGTTTTAATAAAAGACACGTATGTTTATTTTTATTAAATTATATTATTTAAAATTAATTAAAAATAATATTTTAAATATACAAAAATATCTTAAAAAATAATAAATTTTATGAAATTAAGATGAAATACAATTTAAATTTACAAATACTTATTAATTTTTATTAAGTTTATAAGTTTTTTTTTACTTCCATAAATTTTATAATATTAAATATTATATATTTATAATTTTTATAATAATAATATTATATTTATTTTTTTAATATATTAAATTTTATTTAAATAAATTTTTTTGAACATTTTAATAATAAATGCTTAATAAATTTAGTTACTATTACTTTTTAATGTTAGTTTTTTTTCCCTATTTTGACTTTAAAAGTATTTATTATTTATAATATTTTTAAAATAATTATATAAAAATAAATAAATAAAACATAAAAATTTTATAATAATAATATTTTAGTTGTTATTACTTTTTGTTGTTAATTTTGTATATGATATACTTTTTAGCTTTAAATTACGTAAATTAAAGCTAAATTAGTTAAAATTAATTTATTTAACAACGTTACTTAGCAATAACACCTAATTGAATTCAGGATTTAGAAAGCTAATTTGCAGTTATAAAAATGTGATCCCTTTTGTTTAGAACGATGTCCATGACCTTCATCCTTACGTGCCACCAGTGATTGCTAATCCAAAATTCATCTCGTATGATTGGTCTATTACCTTTGTCCACATTCTTAGAGAAGGTAATTTTAATGCTAATTAGCTTGCTAAGTTTAGTGTCTCTTCAGAATTTATATTTTTTATTTAGGATTTTTACTCACTCAATTGAGCTCCTACATTTTAGAGAATACTATAGGTTTTAGTAGGCTCGATAGCAACTTTATTTTTCTTGTTTTATTGATTTATATACGATAAAAAAAGCTTCTTAATCTGGTTAGTAAAAATCAATGAAAAAAATAACCTACAACATTCAAAAATTAAAGTAAGTTACAGTAAATTTTAAAAAAGTTAAATTTAAAGAATTTATAGATTTTTTAAATTGCAATTATTTAGTGTGTCTTGGAATTATTATTTTTAAGGATTGGAAAATATTTTTTAATTAAATTTTTTTTAAAAAAAACACTATTCATCTATGTTGAGGTTTAATTTCATACAAAAAAATTTAAATTCATATTATTTCAATAATAAAAGAAATTATGTTTCTTGAATAAGTTAAAATTTGAGTACTTTATATTATAAATTACTAAGATTTTTTTGTTAGATTTTATTTATTTTGTTTTCAATAATCAATTTTAAATTGAAATTTGACTGTTACACATAATATATATATATATATATATATATATATATAAAACTTATTAATTCTAATTAAATCTTAAACACCTTTTAATAATTTTTTAATTAAAATTTAATTTTTAGTAATTTTTCTCAAATAACAATTAACAAATAGATATGTTGTCATGTAATTTTAATAATTAATTTTTTATATATATTTAAAAAATTATGCTTAGTTAATATCATTAAATATTTTTTTAAAAAGCATGTCATTAAATACATTGAATATATTAAATAAAAGCTAAAATTTTGAGTAAATACCATTCCTGAAAAAACTATTTGACTCAATTTAGCCTTCTGAGAGAAAAAAAATCAATAAATAAACAGTTCATCGAGATTTTAAATATGGAACAGTTTGGTATTTTGTATATTTAATTAGTATTTTTATAATAAATTTAAACACATTAATAGTTTTTTAGAAATTAAACTGATATATGCTTGATTTTGGAGACTAATATGATATTAAAAACAGATAAAAATAAATAAAATATCTGACATAATAATTTTAAAGAATTATTTAATATTTGAAAAGATGAAATTGGATAGAATATTATTTTTTCAGATAGCAAATTGGATGGTTATCGCTTAAGCTTTATAATATTCCTGTACGAAATGGTGAACGAGAGTGAAGGTGGCGGGAGTTGAGGGAAACGCAGGATTGTTAGCACATGCTTCTTTCTTCTGTGCCGTATGAGACAAAGCTTCTGTTGCTAAAGGAGACATAAGAAGAAGAGTGAGCGCTATCCACGTGGCACTTCCCCTTCCCCTCCACTCACATTTTCCATTCCCCCCCACCCAAACCAAACCAACAGACTCCCCAATCCATTTCAAACTATGGTTTTATTAAGTTTTTTGCTGTGAATAGTAGAGCACAAATACTATTATATTAATTAGTTTAAAAAATGGGAAACACTTATGAAGCACAAAGGAAGGGAAGAGATAAGGCATTTCCTTTGCTAGCACGCGGTACCTTCCAATTAAGCGAAAAGTTGTAAATGGTTAGAAATAAATGCTATTGTGAAACTGCATTGCTGAGTTGCAATACGATACCTCCTTCCAACGCACGCTTGTTTTGCAGCAATCCCAATCTTGTTTTCTTGTCGTATTTAATGCAGGAACAGGATGCCAATTCCACGCCGTTTCGTTTCATTTCCTCTCCCTAACTCTACTCCTCTTCTTCCTCTTCCTTCCTCTTCTCGCGTTCCCTTTGCTTCTGGAATCTTCTCTTTCCTCGCATCGTCTCGCTTCGTATCCGCAGGTTCGTGTTTTCTTCTGTTCTCCAAGTCTTTCACATTCTCTTTATTAATCGTAGTTGTTTTCGTCGTTTGAGCGAGTCATTTGTTCAAGTTTAGTTCGTTGTTGAATTTTCCGGAGTGAAATATGGCGGAATGTTTGATAGTAGTGAACTTAGTGGAATAATTCAATTGAGAGCTTGAGTTTTTAGTAGCCGACGAAAATTTCTGAATCTGATTGACTGATTCTGAACAAAGGCTGAACAAGAATCTTGTTCAAGGAAGGGATTGCTGTTACTACTTTTTTTTCTCTTTTGCTTTATTTTTACGCTGTTAGATCAAATATCTGTTTTACTTTATCGTTAGAAAGCGCAATAATGGTTCCGTGATTCAGAATCCGCATTTATATGCTGTAATTTTGAAACCTATCTAGATGGAGCAGAGGCCTTGTGCCTCTCGTATCGTGTAAACACAAATGTATACCTCTGCATTATTAACACGTTGCAGTTTTAATGCGAAGGGAACCACAGATTGTCCCGTTCGTGGTCTGGAAGGTGTTTATGGTACAATGAAATCATTTTTACATGTTCAATGTTGAGAAAACCAGGTAGTAAATGCACATTTCTGTATAGATTTTGGACAAATTTGGTGAAAGTTAAGGAACTTGATCTATATTTACTGTATCCAGTCTAAAACTTCACTGTCATCAATACACTGCTTTATTGTTATATGTACCAAAGTCATTTCTAATTACTACTGGAATCTAATTTTTTGTCGTTGATAAAATCTCTCAGGAGCTAATCAATTGCTTGCTCAATTTTCAATGGATGGAACCTGTGGAATTGGTGCACATGACCAGACCACAATGGATTTTCCTGGCAGTGATAGTGCCAAAGGACAAGCGTGGTCATCATCTCCTGATTTTGGACCTAAAACTGATATAGGCAAGCAGATATTCTGTAACCGGCCACTGAATATGAAAAGCATTGTTGCTGTGGGATTTGACATGGATTATACTTTGGCGCAATACATTCCTGAAACTTTTGAATCTCTTGCTTATCAACACACCGTTGAAAAGCTGGTTTATGATTTGAAATACCCTAGTGAGGTTTGTACGGTTAATCTTGTAATAATTATTACCGTATTTAATTATTTTTATTCTTTTCCTGTGTTAATTATGATAAAAAAAATTTGTTTTAACTTGGGGGTTTATTTACTCCTTTTTGGTTAACTTTTGATCCACCAACCCTCTCATAAAGGATACTTTTTGTTACCAGTTTGTTTGTAGGTTGACATAGTCAATCTTACATCGTGTAGCTAGTATCTTGGCTAAAAGAACTTTTCTTTTCTGCAGTTGCTGAATTGGTCATTTAACTCAAATTACATGGTTAGGGGCTTGGTTCTTGACAAAAAGAGAGGCAACATCTTGAAGGTTAAGATTGAACAAATGTTTTATGCTTCCACTCTTACCAGGGAAAAAAATATAAGGGGGTTGCAAGGAAAACTTTTATCTCCTTTTTGAAATTTCTGTTTGATTGTTATATTGCTGGTTTTGTTACTTCATGTATTTAGATGGATCGCCACAAGTATGTGAAAGTAGCTTATCATGGATTTCAAGAGTTGTCAAAAGAAGATAAAGTTGAAACCTATGCAAATACTCTAGTATACGATTCTTTTGATGGACCAGACTATGCTCTAATTGATACGCTCTTTTCACTTGCGGAAGCCTACTTATTTGCTCAACTGGTTGATTTTAAGGACAAAAATCCTGGAAAGATTCCAGAGCATGTTGAGTAAGTCCTATTATTGCTTGCATGAGTTTTTGTCTATCAAGAAGTCTATGCACCTGCAATTTTAAAGATCAATTACATACTAGGATTAAGGTAATTATTAATTTTATACCTTTGAAATTGGAGACAAACTTGATTGGCTTCATGAAGAATATCTTTTTTAGGTTACCATTTAGGACCGTATATTAGCTTCCAGGAAGAGGTAGGCTTCTTTATGGGCATATCTAGAATAGTACCATTAATTAATGTTGATTTCAACATCCTTAGAAACCATTGAAATGTTACGGTTACTGCTGTTAAACCTGTATGTGAAATTTAAGGGAAATAAATAGATAGAGATTGTTTTTCCACATTGATATTAGGCAGGTAAAATAAATGTGTTTTGTGCAGTGGCCATAACATTTTTTTCCCCGTTCAATGTTAGAAAATCATAGATGGTGTAAAACAGAAACAAATGTGCACTGTACAATGTTTGTTATGAATTGTCCTTTCAGTTATGCTAGTCTGTACAAAGATGTTCGAGATGCAGTAGATTTGTGCCACCGAGATGGAACGTTGAAGCAAAAGGTTGCTATAAATCCCAAAAGGTATGAATGTAAAATCACCAGCACTTCATAATGTAAAAATGTACATCTTTTCTTTTTGGGTTATCTGAGATCTTTCTTAGTTAAACAACAGTTTCGTTATGAAATTTAAGCTCTTTAACTTTCATAGTTATCTTTGGACTCCGGATGAAATTATTCTGATCTGGTCGTTTTTCTTCTTAAATTTAAAATATTAGGTATATCAATGAAGACACCTCAATAGTTCCCATGCTTAAAATGCTCAGAGATTCTGGACGTGCTACATTTTTGGTGACAAACAGGTACTGATGTATTATCTGTATAAGATAAGCGTATCAGTAAAATTTATCAGTAAGTAGTCCCCCTCTTGTTATCAAATGAATAAATTTGTTTACAAAACAATTAAAAAAATTTGCATGACAAACCCATGAAGCTGTTTCTCCTCAAATAAGATAAGTTATTTAACAATTATTTAACAAACAGGTACTGATGAATTATCTGTATAAGCTAAGTGTATTATTAAAATTTATCGGTAAGTAGTCCAAGAGTTCAACCGTCTTGTTATCAAATGAATAAACTTATTTACAAAAACATTTTAAAAATATTTTTGCATGACAAATCCATGATGCTGTTTCTCTTCAAATATTAATTCCTAATATTTAAGTTATTTAACAATTTAATGTTCAAATAGTAGAACACTGGATTATCATATATTTTCAAAAAGTGTTATTGTGTAATGTTAAAATTCATTTATGTGCCTTCATCAATCAGCTTATGCTTTTTGAATAGTTGGTTCTTTATTAAAGCTTCTATGCACAATGTGGCTAGAGTTTAATAATTGTTGCTGTTATTCTTCCAAATAAAAGTTAAATTTCAACTCATGGTAGGGTGGGCCCGTGCAATATTTACACTTCAAGTTAAAGGGTCCTTGTGTGAGGAGGTCTTAGAGAGAAATGTTACAAAACATTTATGTGCCTTTACCTAACAGGTTAAGCTTTTTGCAAGAGTCGGTTCATGACAAAAAGATATGGGACAAGAAGTTCTCTACAATTTATTATGAAGTGATCCTGTAGAAAATATAAACTCATTTGTACTATGGTTTATCTTGCTACCATTAACTAATATTTTAAACACTCATCTCTCATTTTGCAGTTTATGGGACTATACAAACACTGTCATGAATTTCCTGTGTGGATCTGATGGGGCAAACGAAAGTACCAAGTTTGACTGGCTTAAGTACTTTGATATTGTCATCACTGGCAGGTCATGTTCTTCTCATGGCATCCGCAACTTTTTAATTAGTTTTTGTTCATCAGTCCACTTAAAGTGAATTTTCCCACAATTATGGCCCTTGGAATTTAATAATGCTCATGCTCTAACTCAAGCAATCAGGATACCTTGTTAACATTTACTTAGGTCCTTGTGTTGTTCAGTGAACAACATTGGAGATTTTTTTATCCTAACCACTAAACATGTTTATATTGCAACTCTTATGACGATAAATTGTTTGTGTTTGCTAATTTTGTTAAAGAACATCAAAATATGTATTGCCACTTGTACTAGGTTCTTCAGCTTCCTACAATGCAGTAATGTACTAATGTAATATATAGATTTCCTTGCTAACTTGATCAAGTTAATCATTAATACAGTGCAAAGCCAAGCTTTTTTCTTGAGGGAAACCGTGCCAACCTGTTTGAGGTCGAGGCTGAAAGTGGAATGCTACTTAATACAGATAATGGCTCTCCCATGCCTCAGGTCAGCATGGTAGCACATCAAATCACTCAATTCATTCCTTTTGTGATCTTGTTTTAAAAAATGTCTTTTTTCCTTTTAAAGGTGGGTAATGTCTCTGCAAGGATACTAACAGAGGTGAATGATCGTGCTCGGAAAGTTTTCCAGGTACAATAAACATTGTCTTATGTAAATAAAATTCTTTTGGTTAGGTTCTACGTGTCTGAAAACATTGTGGTTAATGCTATTTAGTACTGATGTCTGGATCCTATAAAAGATTGATAGTTCAACATTTTATTATTATAGTGATTAATGATTATATACTTCCATTTTAGGGAGGCAGTGTTGGTCATCTACATAATCTACTCTCAATAGAATCAAGTTCACAGGTATTTATTTTCTTTAATGAAATTATATTGTTAGCAAAAATAAATGGCAATAAATTTTACCATGAAACGTGATTTTGGTTTAAAGAGCTTATTTGTTTTATTAGATAATGTGACATTTGTTCATCTAGGAATTCTAACACAGTAACATTTACTGAAGCTTTCTATAAAAATCTACACTTGTAGGTTCTATATGTTGGGGATCACATTTATGGAGATATACTACGCAGCAAAAAGCTTCTCGGTATATTATATTAAACCTTATCACTTAAAATAGATAGATAATGCATTATAATCCAATCTGCCAGCAAGCTTAAGTGTTTCTTGTGGTTCAGATATTATAGCTTAGATAACAGAAAGGCAATTTAAACTTAAAAGTAAGGCGTTGATGACGGTTAATAATGAGTCTAATTATGCTAATTAATATGTGGAAACCCAAATAATAATTCTATTCTTTTAAAATTATGTATATTTGTGGATTCAATTTTAAATAACTTTGATTTGATTATGTTTTAATGTGCTCATGAGCAGGTTGGAGAACAATGTTGGTAATCCCGGAGCTTGAGAAGGAGGTTAAACTACTTTGGGAATCGAGGGATGCTCGCAAGGTGCTTGTTGATTATTATATTTTAACATAATAAAACCTAACTTTCTAGAATAAAGAAGGAAATAATAGAAAGAAAGGGTAGGGCTAATTCATGCAGAAAAGATATCATGTTGGCTTCTGTTTGTATTAGGCTTTTGCATTCTTACTTCTTTTCTCATTAGAAGCCTGAGAAGCTAATACACATTTGGGTTATATTTTCATTTACACAAGTAGTCTTGTGCAGGAACTTCAATTTCTGAGGACTGAGCGTGACCGCATTGAGGATGAAATGCATTATTTGAACGAGTCTCTCAGGTTAGTATATGTCTGGTAGACATAAGGCGTGTCTTACTGCCCGTTTACTGTCTTAGAGAGTAGTCTACAATTTTTCAGATTAAAGAATCCAGATGATGATACCAAGCAGAAGTTAAATTCCAAACTTGATAAATTGAAGGTTAGGCCTTTTAGGTCCATTCTCTTTTATTAAGTCATGCATAGAAGTCCAGTTATCGGAATTTATTTAAGTAGATAATTCTTTATCAGCTTGAAAGAGAGAGAGTGCGATTAAGTCATCAAGAAGCTCAAAGAAAATTACACCACAAGGTAGAAAAGCTTTAGCCTTTTTCCAATATTTTCAGTTCTCTTTCCACTGATATGGTACACTTACATGCAATTTACTTTTACATGACATTATGGTTGTTTGAAATACGCCATTGCAGTTTCACGAGCCATGGGGCCAGCTGATGAAGACTGGTTATCAGAACTCTCGCTTTGCACATCAGGTAAAATCTGACTTCCTTTGATACTGTACAACATCACTGTTGATGTATATTACTTTCACACCTATATAAAACAGGAAACTGTACTTTCAGTTACATTTTTTCCAGTCAGTATGGCCGTTAGGGCATTGCTGCAGTGTTATTCAAATGGCAGACTAACTTGTTAAATGATGCTTTAATATCATACTAATGCGTAAAGCACATGTTGGTTTTATGTATGCATATATATAGTTGTTTTTTTTACCATTTAGAAACTTGCAAAAATTATTGCATTTTCCCTCCTTTCCAAATCATTTAACAAAATTGATCATTTTGAATGGTAATTCGTTTAATGAACTCGTGTAATGTGCTTGATGCAGGTTGAGCGGTTTGCATGCCTTTATACTAGCCAAGTATCTAACTTGGCCTTGTTCTCTGCAGACAAGTACTACAGACCCAGGGAAGATTTTATGCAGCATGAATTTGGCATTTTCGAAATCTGAACCTCTGGTACTGGGTGTTTCGCCCTTTCTCTCTCCTTATTTTAAGAGAAGAGAGGGGGGGGGGGGTGTTGAAATGAAATTATTAGCTTTGTTCAGTTCTCGTGGTTAATATATCAAAACCATTCACAACTGACCAAAATTGTAAAGAACGAAAAAGGTAGGTCAAAATTGTCAAAAAGTTTCCAATCAAAACTAGCCCCATTGGGATGGGAAATGGAAGCTTACTCAGCCAATATTTTTTAGCAATGTTTGATTCCAGCAGATTTATCAGCTTATTAACCTTTACGTAAAATAAAAATAAAAATCATCATGCTTCAACGTGGGAATTTTTTTTGGTAATACGTGAATTTATTTTTATTTAATTTTTTTAAAATTATTGTTTTTAAATTTTCTTTTTACAATTTGGCCTTTTAAAGCCGAAATAATGTATCTTGTTGCTCATGTGTATAATGCATGCGGTTCATTACTATAAAAATTGTTTTAACAACTTTTAAGCGCCGTAATTACCCATAAATTTGATATTGTATGGTTAAGTTCAATTAAATAAAAACATTATATTTTCTAAATTAATTAATTAGTGCAATGAGATCATAAAAAAAAGGAGCAATTCGGGTGGGCAAAGTGTTAAAAGCTAAAGTCGTAATCGGATAAAAATTGTTTTATTGCACTATTGTGACTTCTCATACAAGTGCAGGCAAATAATAGGGCGAGGCAATAAATATATCAATATTTCTCTTCTCTATACGCGTTGAATTCAAATTTATTCGTAGTAATAATTTTAAAATTAAGGCTTCATTACCGTCTTATTAATTCCTGTTCTGTGACTTGTCTGGTTTTGGATGTCTAAACTGAATGAGCTTTGAAAGGTACTCGCATATAACAATAATGATTGTCTTATTGCACTAGCCACTGGTGTAACTACACATACAATTGCAGCCAAATAAATAATAGGACTAGACAATAAAAATATTGAAAATTTTCTCCTCTGTGCGTCGAATTCAAGTTTATTTGTAGTTATAATTTCAAATTTTAGGCATCATTACCGTCGTATTAATTTCTATCCTTCTCTATAGATCTAAATTGAATGAGCTTAGAAAGGTATTCGCATAAAACATAATAATGCATCGGCAGAACCCTGCTATATATTTCTATATATATTTTTAATAACTGTTATTATTTTATTAAATAAATATAAAATAAAAATTACATAAAATTATTATTTTAAAAATATAAAAAATGTTTAATAGGTTCTTCAATTAATAAGTGAATTTAGAATTATCCTTAATAGAGAGATAAGACACTTTAATGTAGAATCACGATTTTACACTGTCTTGAAATACTAAAGATTTTTATTCGATATAGTACTTTGGTTAACAATATATTGTATAAAATACTAACAAAACCCATAGGGTTAAGTTTAGAGAAGGTTCTCCCCTTATAAGGTTGCCGGACATATCAAATCCTAGGAGACTTGTACTGAGTAACATGGTAGCTATGATGAGAATTTGTGGAGTGATGATATTTAAAAAAAATTAAAGTAAAATTTATTGAATCGTAGCTGAGTTTCTATAATACATCACCACATGGAGAACCTCTAGCGGCAAATGAATTTAACAAACTCAACTAACTAACCGTTTGTGCTTTTTCTTAAGCGCAAAAAGTTAAAGTTTCAATTCTTCCTTTTTTTTATTTTTTTATGGGTCCAGTATATCTCCATACTTAAAGATTAGGTATATGCTGCAAAAAGCTCTAGGAGACTTAAAATGCTAATTACATATTTCCTACGAATAAAACGCTTGAGTAATTCAATGTTTTCCTCACTTCCAATTCCTCACAAAAATGACGACCCTTTATTATTTTACAATCTGTCCCATTTTTTTTTTACCTACAGAGATGGGCTGGGTTTCAAACAAATCTATTGAATGAGTAAAAATTCAGTTTTTTTTAGCTACCAGACATTTCAATGCGTACAGCTTAATCTGTGCTTTAGAAAGCAAAAGAAGCTACCAACAATAGTAGTAAGGTTTTCCATTGCTTCAACATGGCGGTAGTGTTCCATAATGGATGTTGGGTAGTGTGTTTTGACATGCTAATAATAAGGAATTGCTAGGGTGCCACCAATTATCCGGAAAATGGTAAAACCTCACTAATTAATGAATAATCAAACCCATTCCATAGGTGCTTATCTTGACTCTCTAGCCTCAACATCTTGCATGTCCAATGGCTCAGGAAAAATTTCATTGGATGACCTTTTATTGGAAGACGAGTGATCGTTTCCACCACTACTTTGCGAACCTACTTTTCCTGATTTTTTACTGTCACTAGTACCTCCCTTGTTTGAATTCACTGCGGCAGCAGCACTCTCTGATGATGAGCTGTGTCTCCAGCTACCAAAGAATGCAGTGCTCCAAGATTTGCTAGATGAATTTGTTCTCAACCTTGCTGAGCTAGTATTTTCTTCTCTTACAATCTTCAATGGATTTTCCAGTGCTTTGAGGACATGTCTCATAGGAGGGCGTTTCGAAGCCTTGGGGTTCAAGCATGCATTGGCCACAATTGCCATAGCCCATACCTCTTCCAATAGGTCCTCATCCACGATTAATGATGGGTCAACAATCTTAATGAGACGTTCTTTATCGTATATACTGATGTAAGGCAACGTTTGCTCTAACCACACTTTTGTGGATGCATCATCTGATTTGCTGACTTCAATATTACCAGTAACGAGCTCGAGTAAAATCTTCCCAAAACAGTAGACGTCGTAGGCACATGTCACTGATGATTTGCCTGTTCATCAACACAAAAGAAAAAGAATATGTTGATGATTTTTCTTGTGAACGGTTCTAAACAACAATTAAGGTGATAAATCATAATGCCACTAAATAAGCATGCATGTGTTCTCTCTGTACTAACATAAGAATCAGTCTAGCAGATCGCTTAAGTTTGACGCAGGGAGAAAAGATTTAGTGTATTGCTGCGCTTAAAGCTCTTTAATAAAATGGTTCTGTTTTTTAACCTCTAGGTCTAGACTCTAGATATTTCTGGGCATTAAATAAATGGATGCACGGATCAACAATTGGACAAACACTTGATAGAAATTGCTCAACCAAATTACTCACCAGAATCGCCTGGATTGGAAGAACTGCAAAATCACAACAAAATAAACCGTTAGTTACAACTTTTTCTGAATATACATCTGAACAGGAGAACAAATTTTGACATATATATATGAAAAATCAACAGGCAGTGATAACTCTGTTTGCTTGCACTTTGTGTCACTTGATTACAATAAGCATTCTTATCGAGTAATAAGAGATACATCGAGTTTCACTGACTTATGAATCAAATATACACGTTTAAATTAAATAAGGCAATCAGCAAATGACAAGGATGAGATAATTTTGTATCTACCACAAACATAGACCAGGAAAATAGAAGCAACCATTATACTAATTCTAACAGAGATGTGTAATTGATCTACCAAGTCCTACCGTAACTAGTAGGAATGACCGAATACTTTTTTGCCAGTATGTTATCAGCATTTAAAGCTTCAGTATGTTTACAAATCATCATAGTATCTCTTCTCCTTTGATTTTTCATTTATTATAAAACAGCTATGCTTTTATTACATTGTCATTAACAATGAATTCAAAACTTACAGTGGCTTGCTGAAAACCCTTGAGATGACTCTCTGATGAAGATCTCCTTGTGCAGTAACCTCAGTCAAACTTCCAAGTCGCACTTCGAATTTATCATCAAGAAGTATACTGCTAGCTTGGACATCTCTTCAAAAACCAAAATTAAAATATCAGTAATTTGCTTAAATGCAAAAGTTCTTTCAGATCTTCGCACTTTACACACGGTTAACAATGGCAAGGAACTTCTAAATTAATGCAACATAATTGTAAAGCATCATGGATGCACCATGCTAACAAATTCAATCCCATGACATAATCATATTTTTCCAATCATGATGAGAAGTTTAATAATGTAGAATGAATTTGGTATTATTACCTGTGAACAAAGGGAGGGATGCACTCATGTAGGTAAGCAAGGCCTTCAGCAGCTCCTATTGCAATCTTCAATCTCGTGATCCAATCCAGGGACTGTAATTTACCATCTGGACCAATGACTCTGTGCAAGGAAGAAGCCAAATCTCCATTTGGCATATATTTGTAAATGATACATTTCACATTCTCATTCTCCAAGCAGTGACCCAAGATTGGAACCAATCTTGCATGTGAAACCTTGCTTAATAATCCCAGTTCCACAATGTACGATTCTCTCTTAAACAAACTTACGTCTACCGTTTTGACAACCACAGTTGCTCCATTTTCCAAGGTTCCCAAGAAAAGGTCCCCGGAATGACCATGCTTTAGGATATTTGCTTCAGCAAAATTGCCAGTCAGACCGAGAATTTGCTCAAAACTAAATGCTTCTCCCACAGCAGTCACAAAGACAGGATCCTTAGGAGGTGGGGGACTCTCCCCTTTTGGAACAGGCCCTCCATCTTTGGTCCCACTCTGAACTTCCAAGCTTTTACGATTATGACATTGTTTTAGAACCAGTATGAGGACCAATGTCAGCAGCACAATAATTCCAAGCCCACCAAATACTCCTGCCAGTATGATTATCACTCTTCTGCGGTGCCGGGACTCAGATTCTGGGAACACAAAGGGTAAATTTCTCTGCATGTAAAACGCTCTACACTCATCCAAATCCCTCGGGTTTGGAAGCATCGGTAGGCAATTTCTAGCTACACTAACATGACTAACATCACCACCACCTCGCATCTCACCTTCCAAATAATTACTCGATAAATCAATCATTTTAAACTTGTCCAGCGACACATTTAGCGGTCCATAGAACAAATTGTTTGAGAGATTGAATACAGCACCAGAACTAACATTCCAACTAGAGAAATTAGGCAGTGTCCCAGTGAGGTTGTTACTAGACACATCAAGAAACTGCAAGCTGCGCAATGACCCCAGAGTAGCTGGAAGAGCACCAACAAGTAAATTCCCTTTGAGACTGAGAATCTTAAGGCCCAAAAGGCCGGAAGAAAACAAACCAGCCGGCAACGACTCAGACAGAAAATTCATGCTAAGATCAAGCTCAAACAACTTGGAAAGTTTTCCCAATTGAGAGGGAATCGCAGCAATGAGGGAATTACCAGAAAGATTCAAAATTTGAAGTCTTGAAAGGGCACCCAGTTCGGGTGGAACAGACCCAGATAAGTAATTAGAAGAAAGATCAAGCCTTCTAAGATTCCCAAGCTTAGACAAAGAGTTAGGCAGGGTTCCTGAAAGAGAGTTACCAGAGAGATTAAGCGCAGAAAGATTAGACAACAACCCAAGCGTTGAAGGCATTGTACCAACAAGACCATTCCCTGAGAGAAACAAAACCTTCAACGCACTCAACCGCCCAATCGAATCAGGAATCAAACCCGTTATGAAACAAGAACTTAGGTCAAGCACTTGGAGTGCACCAAGGCTTTGACCAAACCACACAGGTATAGACCCATTTAGCAGGAACCCAGAAGCGTTAAACGATTCCAAAAGGGTGAAATTAACAAGAGAATCCACTTCGAATCTTTGGTTCAGTTTCCCCAACCGGGTTCTCCTCAAACCAGACACGTTTATACCCACAACTCGACCGTTCCGGCACTGAACCCCGGTCCAGTTCCTGCACGGTTCGGTTTTTATGGGCCAATCCTTTGCCCTTATCCCCAACGATGAACGAAGCTCCCTTAACGCAGACCATTCGATTCTTGAACTCAGACCCATTGTTAACCCAACCATTAACAACATTGTGACAACACTCACTGCTACTCCTCGTTGCATTCCCATGCTTCAACTCACTCTCACAAACCCAACTTCACTCTTCTCTTTGCAACTTCGGCTTCATCTGTTTGCACCAGTTCAGTTCAATTCAGCAAATTTCACACATAACCAAGAACAAAAAAAATGATCTTTATTTTTTTTTTTAATTTTAGTTTACCTTCAATGTCAACAAACCTCTGATCCTTCTGCTCTGCTCTCTCTTCTGAACTCTGATACAATCTACAAAATGAATCCATTAATGTTGTAGTAATTTGTAGGAATGTAACTGTCTTTTTTATTTTTTTCATGAAACATAAGCTTTGGCATGTTTAAGGTTGTGTATAGTGAAGTTTAACGTTGTTGTGTGATTTAAACGACCAGAAAGGATGGCGTTTTTGGAGTTGAAGTGAAAATTATATAATTAAACATTGAATGGGGTATGAAGGGAAAGGATAGTGCATTAATGGTGCACCCAACTGCCACAAAGTCTCGCTTTCTAACTCACCGGAGTTATTAATGAACGCGTTTGCGATTGGGAGGTGGTGAGTGAACAACAGTGTTTTCAATTTAAGTGCTTTCTGAAAAGAGGTTGGAGTGTGTTAATGGTAGTTATGGCATTGTGTGTGTTTGGGTTGGCCATTGAGCATGGCTTTGAACCATATAGGATACATTAACATCAATGATAAATCAAATGCAAAATAAAATCACTTAAATAATAATTTTTTTTAAAATAAATATCATTTAAATAAAAGTAATCACACTCAAAGTTAGAAGCTTCGTGGAATGATGGTACCCTTTCAAGTTTGATTTTTCTTTTCCGGGGTGCTCCGGGTGAGGACGAATCACCGTTAGATGATGATAACGAGCATTGAGGAATTGTGACTCATAACAGTATCAACTTGTGTCTTCACTCGTAGAATTTTCAAAGGGGGAAATGTCACGCCTTCAAACGAAGGAAATATCACATGACAACAGAGAGATCGGTCCAAAACCTACATTTTTTTTAGAAAAAATAAATATTGTGTGAACTTGACGATAATGCATTTTCATTATTGCCCTAATAATATCTTAATCTTGTTTGATTTCTGCACGTTAATCCCAGTTTACATAAATATCAAATTTTAAATAATATATTTAAAATATTCATATTATATAAAATTTAATAAACATAATTAAAAAGATAATATTAAATAATTTATATTTAACATATTATAAATGTATAAAAATTGTCATTAACTCAATTTTATATTAATACTATTTTTCTAAGCTAATATATTGATTAAATAGATTAATATTTTTATTCATGTCAAAATTATTATGATTTTTACGAAACCAAACAGGCGATGACAGTAAGGAGTGTGTTCATATGGTCATGTTGTTCTGCATGTGGCCAAGTGGAAAAGCGCTTACTATAGCGATTGATAGTGGCAACGCCCTACGCGCAATCACACGTGTGTCCACACCACTCGCCCCTTAATTTCAGCCATTTTGTAATATTTATCAGTGGCTCCGTCAACCCCTCCCTCTCTTATAAGTTATCACACACTGACCAGTGCCAATATAGCATTATCTGAGTTGAATTAAATAATTTTATTATTTAAATATTTAAAATTTCGTGTTATTTATGCTTTTATGTATAATTATTTTTTATTTAAATCTATTTTAATAATCTCAAAAGTATATTCATAAAGAAAACAACTGAAAGTTATCTTGTTAAAAAAAATATTCATCTAATAAATGTTTGAAAGAAGGGTGAAAAATTAAATAAATGTTGACTTAAAAAATATCGATATAACACGAGGCATAAATATACTTAGATAACTTTTAAAATTAAAATACTTAACATAATTACATTATATCATGTCAAATTAATTTAAAATTAATGCATTATATATTTTTTTTAAAAGAGGGTCCAAATAAAATGTTACAATTTATTTAATTATTGTGCTATTTTAATCTGTATTGATGTAAAATATTAAGTGTTCAAATATAAAAATATGCATGCACTCAAAATATATAATAAATGCATTCACACACTTATATAATTATAATTTTTATAAGTATTCACACATATATGTAATATTTTCTTGTAAGAAAATTAAGATAAATTTAACTCATTAAGGAAGAGAGGATTAGGATCCGCCCTAGTCCTTTTCCACTTCCGTCCATGGACACTGCTATAATAATAATTATAAAAAATATTAATCACATTAATATTAATTAAAAAAAAGTAAGAGAAATGGAGATAAAAGTATTCTTGTTACGTTATCTTGCAATTTTCTCAAACTAGATTCAAATATTTCAATTTTTAATAGGAGAACTCGTTTCTAAAATTTTTCACGTGAAAAACTAATTCTTAATAATACAAATATATTTTGTTAACTTTTTTTTTTTCTATTCAAAGGGGCTAATAATCCAAGCAACAAAAACAAAAATTATAGACTTAACCTAGGAGTTTAAATGCCTAAAGAATCAAGATAAAGAAAAGAAAAGAAAAAAATGAAGCTAAATCAATACAAAAAGATGACAATGAATTATAAGGTTTAGTTTGGCTAAATGGTCAACACTTTGGTTGGCTTCCCTATAAACATGATTAAATCTAACAAATTGAATATGTTTAATAACATTTCTAATTCTAGCAATAAGGTCATATAAAAAATGGGCATAATTCTGAACATTGAGGATAGTGACAAAGCTTTAAAGAAATCACTTTCTATCCACATAATGTGAATTCTTTTATGGGTAATAAGGCTCAAACCCAGCAAGATACTCTAGAGTTCAACAACTATAGAAGCGCAGGGATCAAGCTTTCTACAAAAATCAGAGATAAAATGACCTTGGGCATTCTTGATTAAGCCACCATAAGCAACAACTTTAGTTGTTAGAGAGACTGATAAGTCTGTAATTAGGCCCTCTTTTACAACTCATATTTTTATATTTGACCTTTATTTTATTTGGGTTTTACACTAATTTATATATTAATTTTGCAGTTTGGTATAAAGAGGCCGCAAGTAGATTTTGAGTGCATTCTGGGCCCAAATTGATGGAAGATTAAAGCTTCGCAGTAGTTAGCACGCCCAAACCCATTCAATAAGCACGGGGTGCTTCGAGCCCATGTACGGTCGTGCTTAAGGCCTTGCATGACCGTGCTCATTTGCGAAAAACCCAATTATGAAGAGTTTTAGGGTTCTCAAATCCTATAAAAGGAAATATCTCAGGCATCGTAAAGAGGACCGTTTTTGACATCTTGGCTTTGGCTCTAGAATACATCTGATCTCGTCTCTCTTACACGGGATCCTTGGCACATGCTTGACGACACTTGGAGCTTCAAGCGATCGTACTTGAAGACTGGGAACACATCTCACACTCTAGTTTGCTATTTTTTTTTATTATGGCTTTGTTTATGATTGTTTTAGTTCTTTTCTTTAGCATGAGTAACTAAGTTCATAGTTAGGGCTATGAGAACTATTGTTCATGAATTTATAGAATTTTGATATTTGAATCTAAATTTGATCTTCGCTTTGTGATTAGATTTTATCCTATTGCGCTTCTTTCTTAATTTTAATTAATTATATCGTCAAGCGACCGTACATCGGTTAATTAATAGATCTATAGGGTAAAACGAGACAAAGGATTAGGTGGACCAAAACAATCTTTCTCTTCTAATCGTTATTAAATTAACAAGTTCGTAAGCTCCTAAAGCTTTTTTAAATTAATGTCTTGCATGACCATTGGGGATGTTAATTTAGAGAAAAGAATATTAATATTGCATGACCATTGGGTATTAATAGTATTCATATGAATGATTGGTAATCACAAGAAAATCGAATTTAGAGTTAAATAGAAAAATAACATAAAGGCTTGAATGAGAAAACCCATATACCCTAGGTTCCTCTTTGATAAGTTCAACCAAGACGTGCATTTGTATTCCTTGCTCTTAGTTCTTAGTTTTATAATTGATTTTATAAATTCTTATTTTTAATTAATCTCGTATCTTTGAAACTTAAACAATTGAATTAGGAAATTCTTAGTAATTGAAAAATAATCCTTGTGGGACGATATTTCGAGAACTTAATTTAGGAATCCTGTATTACTTCTCGATGGGTACACTTGCCTTCCAAACAGAGACAGTCCCATCTATATTGGGCTTCTAGTAGTGAATAGGGGGTAGAACCCGTTTAACTTGAATCTGATCCTTCATATGCTTCATAAAAGTCCCAATCAGGTTACCATGACAACTAGAAAAAGCTTGAAAAATTAGTTAAAATTTTCTGAATGAGACCCAAAGGCTGGACAAAAGAGTTATTGAAAATAAAGTTATTTCTCTCATTCCACAGGTGCTAAATAATAACCCTAAACAAACTTCCCCAATTGGAATTTACTAAAATTATAGTTTGAAAGATTAAGCATTATCCACTTTGAAATGCCTCTACTAAAGAAAGCAACACACTGCTAAAAAAAAAAGTACTACCAAACTTCCTTAGCATAAACACGGTATCTAACAACATGAATGACTAATTCCTCATCTTCATTATATCTAGTATAGAAAGAGGAAGATGACATACTTCATTTACAACTTTCAACATTGGTGAACAGTTTATTGTGAGCTAATTTTCAAAGAAAAATTTTAATTTTGGGAGGACCTTCCATTTTCAAATAGCATTAAACAAATTATGACAACTAGCATAAGAATTATTAGAACAGGATAACATAGAATAAGCAGATTTCAGAGAAAATATACCATTATTGGTCATGTTGCAAAACATAGAATCAGGTCCTTGAGAATTTGAAGGAGGTCTAACATTAGCCACCATCTTGCAAATCTGTTCAAGAAGAACAACAACAAGTTTCTCTCAATCCTAAACCCCATTTCTAGAAAATAAAGCAACAATAATATTATGATCTAAAAGAGTAAGAGGGATAATGCTATAATTAAAAAAAAGACCAACACCATGACACCAATTATCATCACAAAATTTTACATTTGTCCCGTCCCCAATAGTCCAACCATTTCCTTGAGAGAAAGTATGTCAAATAGAGGATAAACTACTCCACATGTGAGAGGTTTTAGGATTTTTTTTAGATTCAAAGTTTTGACCAACAATAAATTTGTATTTATTGTAAATAACATGGACTTATAAGGCTAAGGGAGAGGTAAGGAGCCTTCATCATAATTTCATCAGATATGCCTTATTCAACATGTGCAGGTCTTGTAAACTTAGACCCCCTTTCAGATTTAGGTTTACAAATTGTCTTCCAACTTATAAGGTGACATATCTTGACCCCTAAGGATCCCCAAATAAAACATTTACAAACCTTGTTAATTTCCTAACAAAATAAGAGGGGAATTAATTGAGATTGCATTGCATAAGCTGGAATGCTCATGAGATAAGATTGAACAAGGGTTATTCTACCAACCATGGTAAGAAATTTATTTTCCAAAGGGAGAGTTTTTTCTTGATTTTATCTAAAAAGGTAGGAATAATGTCCCTTAAGGAGTCTGAGATAGTAAATAGGGATGCTAAGGTACCTACCAATCCTCTTAGTTTCAGGGATACCAAGGTAACTACTAACAAATTGAGAGATTACAGGATCATTATTAGCTAAGAAGAATAGGGAGGATTTTTTAATATTAATTTTAAGGCCAGAGGCTAAGCAAAATTTATGTAACATAGATTAATAGTATTAGCTTGTTCAATAGCGGCTTTAACAACTAG